TTGCTCTGTCACCTAGATTGGAGTGCAGTGGCATGATCTTGGCTCCCCGCAATATTTGCCTCCCAGGCTCAAGTTATTCTCTCACCTCAGTCTTCTGAGTGGCTAGGACTACGGGCACACACAACCATACCCAGCTAATTTTTATATATTTTGTAGAGACGCATCTCACTATGTTGCCTAGGGTAGTTTCAAATTCTTGGGCTTAAGTGATCCTCCCACCTCAGTCTCCCAAAGTGCTTGGATTATAGGAGTGATGACTTTTAGGTAAAACAAGATAGAAATTTTATCTCTCAAATGCATACAGTTGAGACTTTAGGCCTAAATATTGTACCATCTTTTGCCCAAATCAACGAAGGAGGATGTGAATAAAAGCCCAGTTAAGATGCAACGGACAGGAAAAAGTATGTTAAAGGTGAGACCTGTTACATAAATCTAAGTCAATTACAAGTCTTTAGTAACTTAGTCCTTCCTCTCTTCCTGCTGCACAGAGGCAGGCACCCTTAAAAATGGAGATTTCCTTTATAGATGTACATTTTGTTTAAAAAAGTGTTTCAAAATAGCCAGCTAAGTGCCAGAAAAGTGAATTTGGAGACCAATTTAGTTCAATAAGCAGTCTTTTTAAGTTAGCCACTATTTTTTAGCTAAAATTACTGAGGTCAGGTTGTAGCCCATTAATTAATAAGGCCAGGAAATAATTCTCTATGTGTGGACTCAGCATGGATAGCTCTGAAAAAGAAAAAAGCCTACTTTACTTGAGAGCTTACCTTTCATGAACACTTTATATCACTCTCTTTTTATCTTTGGGGCAGGATAGTAACTAAGCCAAAAGATTAGTAGATTCAGTTTTTCTTATCAATTAGTTGCTTAAGCTTTTTATTTGCCTTTTGAAAGGCTTAAAAAGAGGCAATAGAAATATTCACATTTTTTAGAAGCTTCTGCACATCAATAGGTGTCCTAGATATGCCTAATTTGGGAGTTCTCATTTTTAAATTCACTTCTTAAAGTTAGATGTTCATTTGGAACATTTCACTGTAATTTTAAATTATCTTCATAAGATTTTGCCTTTTTTGTAAATATTTGCGGCTGGTAGGACCTAATAATTATGCATGTAGAGGTACAGGTAGACGAAAATGGAGAGCTCAGTTCTTCAGAAATTAAGGATCCCATTTTTATGTTAAATATTGCTTTTGGCACTCACATCTTGAGCAACTTAGCCAAAGATTTTCCCCTACCTAACGCATTAGAAAAACAAACGGGTGGGCCGGCCGCGGTGGCTCAAGCCTGTAATCCCAGCACTTTGGGAGGCCGAGGCGGGTGGATCATGAGGTTGAGAGATCGAGACCATCCTGGTCAACATGGTGAAACCCCGTCTCTACTAAAAATACAAAAAATTAGCTGGGCATGGTGGCACATGCCTGTAATCCCAGCTACTCAGGAGGCTGAGGCAGGAGAATTGCCTGAGCCCAGGAGGCGGAGGTTGCGGTGAGCCGAGATCACGCCATTGCACTCCAGCCTGGGTAACAAGAGCGAAACTCCGTCTCAAAAAAAAAAAGAAAAACAAACGGGTTAGAACACAAAATCCTGGTGAATTTCTGAAAGCCAGAGTTCACACCTTCTGTAGTATTGCCACTTCCTGCTAGTTTGTCTGCCCAGTCAGCCTCTAAGACTTCTAACTGGATATAATCCAGTTAATTATTGAGTCTAACCCAGTCCAGTTTCTGTTATGACTTCTGAACCCAGTTTAGGCAAAAAATGTGCACATACAGGTTCAAGTAATCAAAACACAAATGCATGGATCTTCATAATCTGAGAGACAACTTACCCATGATCCCTAGTTGCGACGAGAGAGCAATGCATACAATAGACCCAGCGTGAACATTGCTTAATCCCTCAGTGCTCCTGGGGTTGCTGGAAGCTCTACTTCAAATCCCACTTCTGAAGCCATCTGTTAGACAAAAACCTTTAGAAAAATAAAAATTTAAATTTAGCTAAAGACCAATTCAAGAGTCAGGCAGCCCTTAGAACCAGAATATGTTCAGAGCAACTCTTAGCCTGTCACATGGTCAGATGATATTCATGGACAGGAAAAGGAAAGTGATGTACAGAAGATGGAAATGAGGTACAGAATTAGTGTTTGAACAGGGTTTGAAAAATTGGCCACTGTGATTGGCTGAAACTCTGTGATTGGTACAAGAGTAGTTTATAGTCTGCTTAGAAATTTTTAAGTCAAACTTAAAATACGTAAGGAGGCTTTAAGCTCAACTTAATTTAATAGTACGATTTAATTTATATAAGTGTTTATAAAGGAGAATGTCAAAGCTCTAGAAGGACTTGCTACTTTGTGGAAAGGTCAGAATTACAACCCAAACCTCAATCACTAGGGCTAGTAGGTTTTTTTTACTGAAACATCATTCACATTGCACCTAAGTGTAATTAAAAGACGAAGGATTAAAGGGAATAAAAATACTCTTCTGGAGCTGGGACAAATGAGGGATTCAATACATTTGTTTCATCTATTATAGCTATGTTTACATGTTGATCACCTTAGTATATAAAATAAAACCAAAGGACTGAATGAAATGTGTGATATGCATTCTTTTTCTGAAACCCCTACTCCCTTTTTTGAGCATTTTTATGGAGTAGGTAATGCATCACAACTTAGTTTTTGGGCTTTTTCTTTTCTTTTCTTTTCTTCTTTTTTTTGAGACCGAATCTTGCTCTGTTGCCAAGGCTGGAATACAACAGCAATATAGCTCACAGCCACCTCCGCCTCCCATGTTCAAGTGATTCTTTTGCCTCAGCCTCAAGAGTACCTGGGATTACAGGCATGTGCCACCACACCTGGCTTATTTTTATATTTTTAGTAGAGATGGGGTTTCACCATGTTGACCAGGCTGGTCTCAAACTCCTGACCTCAGGTGATCTGCCCACCTCAGCCTCCCAAAGTGCTGGGATTACAGGTGTGAGCCATGACACCCGGGCAATTTTTGGGCTCTTACTGGTCAAATTCTCAGTTAGTAACTAGGTAAATTGTTTTTACTTTGGTTAAGAAACTTTCCCTTTTGATTTGGTTTATATGAAGAAAGGTGAATGTTTTTAAAATGACCTTTTTCTTGTCTTGGATCTCTGGCTTTTAGAGAGTAGAATGGCATTTTGAAAATCAGAAGATCTTTTTAGAAACTGCATCTTTCATTCATTCTTGTGGCTGGAGGCAAGTTACTCTGAGTCTCACTTTTCTTATTTGTAAAATGTTGTGATTTTATTACCTTGAAGGGTACCATGAGAAAACATGCTTGACAATGTGCTTAATTTTAACACATCGTTATTTAATTGTTCATTCAGTTGCAGGTTAGAGTTTGAGATGTTAAAGTTCATCTCACCAGATTCCTTCAATTTATATATGAAAAGATTCCTAAAGTGTCAAGCTAAGATAAATGTTAGTCTGCTCTTACTGCATTGATAATTATATACCTGGCTAAGTATTTCATTTTCTAAATAACATTTATTTAAAAGATCATATATATATATATATATATATATATATATATATAAAACAAAAGTAAAATTATAGACTATGCATTTCTGGCAAAACAATTTTTAGAGATGATGAATATGTACAATAAAGCTTTATATTACTGCCAGATTCTATCAGAAGTGTATTGAGAAAATTTATGCTAATATTGAAATTAAATCCTAAATTACTTAAAAAATTAATTATTATATCACATATTAAGTACCATATTATCCAAATATATGGTTATCTGGAGTAAAAAAGACCACAATTTTCTAATAAGTGAAACTTTAAAATTACAGCAAAATTTAAAATAACAGAAAAGCCTTTGTTCTAGGAACTATAACTTTGTTAATATAACAATAATAACAATGCATCATAATTACACATAAACACCAAAAAATGAAAGTCTTTCTTTTCCTGTTGCAGCCTTGAGACTGAATTGGTTTTATAGACAACTGACACAGCTGTTCCCCAGCAACTACAAAACATGTATTTATATAACTTTTTCACAGATGTAAAACCTCTCAGAGACCGATTTTCAAAAAGATGCTAAGCTCAAAACATTTCCAATATACTTTTTGACCCTGACCCTTTCACTTTCTTCTCCCCTCAAACCACTGTGAGAGGTTTACAAAAAAAAAAAAAAAACCTTAAAAATACCAGTGTCAGCTTTTTCAAAAATTTTAATATATTTCTTCAGTGACAACTTCTTTGTCTCGGGACTGCAGGGGTGACTCTGTTCACTTGTTAGTGCTGAGATTCCTGAACTCCCTAGGCCAGCCCCTGCCTCACTGCCCAACTCCCTGCTGGGCATATCCTGTCATGTCAAGGATTATGAAAGTTGGATTGTGAAAGTTAGGTTATTTTTTTTAAAATGCATTTTCTTAAGCTATAAAATGGTTTGGGTATGATATTTGTTTTACACATATAAAACACAGTCACAAAATAGCACTTGATGAATTCAAGTACTTTTCTGAATTAAATATTGATGCAATTATTAATTATTCATTGCATCAATATTCATTTTTCCTCTTTCATAAGAAAAAAGAGAGCAGAGAATACAATTCTTCAGATACTTATGGCTTCAGACAGAAAGGTTAGAGATCCTGAAAAACAGAAATCATAAGAAGTAAACTTTTTAGCTGAAATAGGTTTTGCAAAATTATTTAGAAATAAATAACATAAAATTCCCAAAGTAAAAAATAAACATAGAAATCTTGAGTAATTAGACAAGATCTTAATTTACTTAATGATATTTTCTCTGCCACATATAAAAGGAGATAGAGAATATCTAGCCTATCAGCACAACATTGGGCTTTTAAATGTTGAGTTATTGAAGTGATTTTAGAAGTGACAAAATTTTCATCATTATTAAAGTCTTCTATGCTCATTAAGAAATCTAGCTATTCAATTGTCATACTTTTTTGACATCCATATATAGTTGTATAAATAATCTGTTATTTGGCTTTTTATTTATTATCAACAGGACTCAACAAGAGATGAAGGCAATGAGACTGAAGCCAACAGCATGTATAAATTAAGAAAGACGAGGAAGAAAGTCACTAAATCACATGTTTATTCAACGGAAGTGGGAGAAACGGATATATCCAATTCAAATGGTATCTAACTCCTCTGATCTCTCAAAAATGGTGTGGTCAATGGCAATCTCCATTTGGTCTTTCTTTTAATAAAACATCTTCCTTTCTTTGGAAGAAGCAAAAGGAAAAAGAAGCAAAATTTATTCCTATACAGGTGACATAAAAGATGGCAAATATAAGCTTAAAATGTAAATATATAAAAATAATCAAAATATTTACAATTTAAAGAGGGTTAGAAGAAGAGTGGTAATAGCAGAAAAAAAAAGAACAAAACACAGGAAAGCTCGAATAGGAAGAGAGACAGTCTTCTGCTACAAAACTGAATACAGAAATCATTACTGAGGATTTCGGGGGGGTCATAAGAATGGTAGGGAAGGTGTTTTCATAACACACGTTGGAACTCCAACTAGATTTCAACAGATCTGAGACACTGCTAAAACTAGAAGTTAATTTGGGCAACAGGCTCAATCCTAGGAGTCATTGTGTCCTAAGGCAGGACAGTAGAAATTCCCAGCATATGGTTACAATAAAAAGCAGTCAGATTTTAGTAGATTTTATTATTTATGTATAATTTTTTTGAGACAGAGTCTCACTCTGTCACCCATGCTGGAGCGCAGTGGCGTGATCTTGGCTCACTGCAATCTCCTCCTCCTGGGCTCAAGCCACCCTCCTATCTCAGCCTCCTGGGTAGCTGGGATTACAGGGGTGTGCCACCAAGCCAGTCTAATTTTTTTTTTTTTTTTTTTTTGTATTTTTAGTAGAGACCGGGTTTTAACATGTTGGTCGGTCTGGTCTTGAACTCCTGACCTCAAGCGATCCACCTGCCTTGGCCTCCTGAAGTGCTGGGATAACAGGCTACAGACATGAGCCACTGTGCCTGGCCTGTTTTTAAATTCTCTACAAACAATGTACTTTTTTGGTCAGTGACTAGAGTAGACCACTCTCACTGCCTCTCATTTAATATGTCACTGCTAGGAATATACTATTTTCTCAAGTATTCCTCTCCATATTATATTAAGAGACAGTTGAAAACAAGGGCAACATATTTTAACATTTTTCCTTATTACTACAGAGAGGATCAGAGACCAAATGGTGTGCCACAAATTAGGGAACATGAGCAAACCAGTCATGGGACCTGGCTCTGCTGAGTCTCAACTGTCACATGATGACAAGGACTCTCAGGATGAGACAACAGTGATAAAACTATTGTCCCCCAGAACAACAACCAATGTTCCTGGTGGTGAATTTAACCCAAACTCTGGTAAGGATTTACTGGTAAGGATTTGGGAACAAACTGATATGTGGGTCTAGCCACTAACCCCAAGTTTGTATTTGAATTGAAAGAATGCAGTGTTGGTTGAGGAATACCAGCCTGGGAGTCAGAACACTTACAAAAATTTATATACCTATCTTTTATAAAATGCTTTGTAGTTTTCTTTATCCCTTAGGCTGCTCATGTGAAGAACAGAAGGGTTGCAATGGAAGATGTCTCACTTTTTCTAAAAGTAAAATCCTATTTCTAAGTTTCTGGCTTATTGATAGTAATGTAACTATTTTAGTACATGAATGTATTGTTTAAAACTCTCTTGGATGAATATGCTAGAAATTAGTTCTAAAAGGAAATCTAAAGGCCAGGCACAATGGCTTACACCTGTAATCCCAGCAGTTTGGGAGGCTGAGGTAGGAGGATCATTTGAGACCTGGATTTCGAGATCAGCCTGAGCAACATAGGCAGACTCTCTTTCTACACAGTAAAAAAATTGGCTGTACGTGGTGACACATGCCTGTGATCCTAGCTACTTAGGGGGCTGAAGTGGGAGGATCACTTGAGCCCAGGAGGTTGAGGCTACAGGAAGTTGTGATTATGCTATTTCATTCAAGTCAGGGTAACAGAGAGAGACCCTGCCTCCTCCACCCCTTGCCAAAAAAAAAAAAAAAAAAAAAAAAAAAAAAAAAAAAAAAAAAGGAAGTCTATAATGACAGGTTAAACATATAAGATTTGGAAAGATGAAAATATACCAGAGTGGGAAGTTAGAGGGTTCGTTTCTACCACATTACCCTCACTTCTGACACCAATTACAAGTTTTGGAATGCCCCAAGTAACGACTCACTGAATTCACTGAAAGCTGTTATATTCATGGTTATGATTTATTACACTAAAAGGATACAAATTAAAATCAGCCATGGGTAGTCCAGGGAAGTTCTAAGTACAGAATGTTCACTTGTCCTTTCTTAGTGGAGTCACCGACAGACAGCACTATTCTCTTGGCAATGATGTGAGAAATGTTGCCAACCAGGGAAGCTCACTTGAGTCATGGTGTTCAGAGTCTCTACTGGGGCATCATGGTTAACTGGGCATTTGGCTGACCTCACTCTCCAGCCCCTTTGGGAATCAAGCGGTTACTGCATGAGTTGAAATCACCACTATAAATAACATTGTTAAAGTTTCTGGCATGGCCTAGAACCCCTAGGTAAACAAAGACACTGTTGTCTGGCAAAACATTCTAACTGCTTGGAGATTATCTCCCAGGGACCAAGGGCAGAGACCAGAGCTCTCTTTGGGCAAGGGCAAATCCCTTAGTATACACAGGGCCCAGGGAGGAGCTAGAGCCTGGAAAATAAACACTATCAGAATTCTGTATGTATTAGTCTTCTATTGCCACCATAACAAATCACCACAAATTTACTGTCTTTTAAAAAATACAAATGTACTATCTCACAGTTCTGTACATCAGAAGTCTAGGCTGGCTCATCTGCTTTCCTTGTTTCAGGCTTTCCAAGGCTAAAGTCAAGGTGTTGCCATCTGGGTTCTTATCTAGAGACTCTAGGGAACAGTACACTTACAAGTTCATTCAGATTGTTGAGAGAATCCAGTTCTTTGTGACTGTAGAAGTGAGTCACACTTCTGGCTGTCAACTGGGGTGGCCCTTATCTCCCAGAAGCCTCTCTCTGGTTTTATATCTCAGAGATAGCACGCCTCAAATCCTTCTCATATTTAGAACTTTTCTGAATTCCCCTTCTTCCACATCTCTTTTCTGCTCTCAGCTGGGAAAAGCCCTCTGCTTTCAAGGGCTTAGATGGATAATCAAAGATAATATCCCTATTTTAAGGTCCATAACCTTAATTACATTTGCAAGTTTCCTTTTGCCATGCAAATTTAATACATTCACATGCTCCAGGGATTAGGTGGGTAGAAATTTTTGATGGACTATTGTGCCTACTGATAACGGAGACTAGCCACGGAAATACTGGGTAGAAGAGGGCAGTTCCTTGGCAAAGACCCCACCCTAAAGCCTGGAAACCCATGGCTCTAAATGGAAGCAGGCATTTCTGTTTTTGCTCCGAAAGGTTGCCTTTTCCAAGACCACTCTGGCCCACCATGCCCCTATCCTATGCCCATATAAACCTCAAGCTCCACTGGAAGAGCAGCAGAAGAGCAAGGGAGAGAAGAGAAGAGAGGGAGCATGTGAATGCAGAGAGAAGCTTGGCTGGGATGGTTGGACAGGAGATCTGCGGTGGGACAGCTGAACTCCAGGGGAAAATAATATTCCCAATCCATCCCATTTCCTGATCCCCAACCATCCCGTTGAGAGCCACCTCCATCACTCAGTAAAATCCCCACATTCACCATCCTTCAAGTCCATGTGACCTGTTTCTTCCTAAGCTCCAGACAAGGAGCAAGGTACCTAGAGGACAGGGTATAAAAGGCTGCTTTCCTGACTCTCCACTGAGCTGGTTAACACCTAGCCTTTTGTGAATGGCAAAGATAAAAGAGCATGGTAACACCCCTAAATAACTGCCGTAGGGCTGCAGCCCAAAAGCTCTCAGCTTGGCTCATAGGCATGTTCCCCGTCCCATAAGTGGTTTGAGTGCAGTGGCGGAGTAAATGAGTCACATCCCTGTTGCAAGTCTCGAGAGGGGGTCAGGGAACTCTCTGGTCTCACGACCACACCATCTCTCATATCTGACTTTCTCTCTTCTTTGGCTTTATGAATTTCTCTGAAGTAGAGAACATGAGCACTAACGACCTCTGAACATCAGGCAGCTGTTGATACAAATGCCCACGGGGCCAGACAGTTAATACAAATGATAGGCTGGTGTAAGAAAATAAGGAGTGGTGCTGCTCAGGAGAAACTGGAGCAGAGAGCAACCAACTAGTGCCCCAGAGCCAAATTCAGCTTGCTGGTCAGTTTTTGTAAGTAACGTTTACGTATTATTGATAGCTGCTAAGATGACATTGTGCTTAATGAGTAGCTGAAATGAATACCATATGGCCTACACAGTTGCAAATATTTACTATCTGGTCCTTTACAGAAATGTTTGCTGCCCCATGAAGTAGAGGTTGCCTGTCCCTTCTAGACTACCTCAGAGTTCCAACCAGTTGTTGCTACTATGCAGAAATATCTACCCTGAGTTGCCAGATCTAGTTTCAAAAGAAATTTGAACTCAAGATTTCTACATAAAATTTTCTAATAGTGAAATGCTGTCCACTATTTCAAAAAAGTTTCTAAATACTGGGAAGACTAATCAGATAATATCTGCCGGCCACATTGGCTCCTCCAGAGATTGTGAAATTGTTTTATATATTCTAGTTTTAGCTACAAAAGAGAGATGGATTTACCATTTCTTTGTCTTAAGTAAAAAATATGGAGAAAGAGCTTGTGTCATGAGCTCTCTTTGCACTGTCAACCATGACTTAGAGCATGGATACCATTACTAACTTAACTTCTTTAGCTCAGAAGCTCTCTTTTTGGCCCAGGGTATATTAAGTTCTCTATAGGCCCTCAGTACCAAACATTTAAACTACAAACCAATCACCTATTCATAATTTAAAAATAACCCCAGCAAAATAAGTGTAAGGAATTTTGATATGGTATTTCTTCTTTGGAATAACTTCTCTGAGTTTTTTGAAAAATAATACTTTTTTTTTTCAAAGAAAAATTCCCCGTTCCTCCCACTTTTTATGTATTGCTTTTTTTCTTTTTCCTGATTTGTATCTGGTTATTCTGCCACCTAGGCTTCCCACCAATGGCTGGGCTAGTATGATGTGGCCAGAAGGCAGGGTTAAATTTGCACAAACATAGCCACAATAATGTAAGATGGTGGGACCTTGAAAGAGCACGGTCTTATGCTACGTTTGCAATAACTGAATGTATTCTGGAGTTTTCCGTCAAATGCACTTTTTCCTTTCTTTGAGTTCGCATTTCTGAAAGCCCAAATGCCTCTTCAATCTCCCTTTTATAAGTGACCATGGCTTGTTCTTTATAACTGATATACGCCCTCGTCATTCAACACGTACAAAATTTCTCCAAGGCCTTCTAGTTGCTATAGAGCTTTGAGGTTTTTTTTTTTTCTTTAAAAATGTTTTCTTATTTTTTCCCTAAACATTCACAGCACTAAAACATCCTCTATAAAAACACATTGATTTAATTTATTAGTCCTCTGAGGGAATAGAAAAGAAGAACACCTCCCAGAAACCACACTGTAGGAAAAACAAATGAGCTCCTGAACTGGCAATTATCTGCCTGCTATTCATCATGTGCAGCTGGGAGAGGCTGACCAAAAGGTTTAATTGTAAGTAACAAGTATGATTTATTTGAAGAAAAGAAATTCGGACAATGATGCAGCAAGATCAGTTGATGCCTTGAAAATAAAATTGAATTGTATAGGGTTCTCATATTTGATGAAAGAATTGAACTTTTGAATGAAAAATTGATATTTAGGATATATACTAAAATATATGGTGACACCTTTTGTTAATTAGACAAGGTCCAATCACACAGGATGTATTCGTTCATTCACTCACTCACTTGTGCAAAAAATATTTGTCGAGTGCCTACGAGATGCCTGTACTGTTACAAGTACCAAAAAAACAGCAGCTCGTAAAACTAAGCCTCGGTTCTCATGGAGCTGATAGGCAATGGGGGATGACAGGAACATGTGCATATACAGTGTGGCAGGTGCCAGTAAGAACAGTGAAGAAAATAGAAACAGAATTATCCAATGTTATGTGTTGAATGGTGTTTCTCCAAAATTGTTATAATGAAATCCTAACCTTCAGTACCTGAGAACATGACCAAATTTGGAGATATGCTCTTTAAAGAGATAATTAAGGTTAAATACGATTAGTACGGTGGACCCTAATACAGTATGACTCATGTCTTCATAAGAAGAAGATATTAGGTCATGGACATGCACAGAGAAAAAAACATGTGAAGATGGTGGAAGAAGATGGCTATCTACAAGCCAAGGAGAGAGAGACTTTAGAAGAAACAAATCTGTGGACACCTTTGGCTTTGGACTTCTAGCTGCCAGAACAGTGAGAAAAAAAATTTCGGTTTAAGCTACCTGGTCTGGGGCATCTGTTATGGTAGTAGCCCTAGGAAACGAATACATGTACTGTACTCACTGTCCAACCACAAGGCAACTTGGAGACTTAAAAATGAATCAAGGGTTAGACCTGTCCAAATTGTGATCAAGTCTCACAAAATTAATACTGCAGGTGATTATGTTTAATATTTTTTCAGCACTTTCACTGTGTGAATTCATCCCACCTTTGCATTTGATGGCATGTTTATTATCGATAGTTGCCCCACTTTATAATATAAAGTTCTATGAGGGCAAGGGCTCTTTCCGGCTGATTCCTAGATACACGTTCAGTATGAATAGTATGTGATGATGAAAAATATCCATGTTGAGTGAATAAATATTATACTTATTTAAAAATAATATGTATTCATTATAGAAAATTTAGGAGATACAGATAAGGCAAAACACTAATAAGATTACCTGTTATCCTATTACTGGTGAACCAATAAAATTACCTTTCTCCTTTTATAGGAAATGTCTTCTTTACAGCTTATACATAATTGCTTATTATGTTTAGAATAGTCATTGTCTAAAAATACCCATATTATTATTATTTGTTAAGACAGTCTCTGTCAGCCAGGCTAGAATGTAGTGGTGTGATCTAGGCTCACTGCAACCTCCACCTCCGAGGCTCAAGCGATTCGCAGTAGCTGGGACGACAGGTGCATGACACTAAACCCAGCAAATATTTGTATCTTTAGTAGACATGGAGTTTTGCCATGTTGCCCAATCTGGTCTTGAACTCCTGGCCTCAAGCGATCTGCCCACCTTAGCTTCCCAAAGTGCTGGTATTACAGGAGTGAGCCACCATACCTGACCCATATTTCCATGTTTTAAAATGCCTATAAATTTTGTTTTAAGGAGCATTATTCATCTTGGGCTGAACACCCAGTGTTTCAGAGTAGGTTGGGAATACAGCAAATGATAATTTAGCATGAAACACTTTAATTGCTACAGTTTAATTGTTTGTGTTAAATGGAAGGTAGTTATAAAGCCCCCAGAGTTTCAGAGTAGCCAAATGCATCAGTGATAGCACATTATCAGTAATATATTTGCATATGTGGAAACAGTCATTTATTTTTCCCATGCTTCATGTACTTAAAATCTACTTTATGTTTCTAAACTGTCAATCTTTATGGTTATTTTTAAAGCTGAATTATATCTTGAAAAAGCATACTCAGGTATCACTTTAAAATTATAGCTGCTCAATATCAGTGATGTGACAGATGGGTGTTTGGATGCAGACATGACTGTGGCATCATTTACTAGGGCTAGAGTAATTGTACTCACTTTATGCATTTAAGTACCACTTATATGGTGCTTACTGTCTGCCAGTAACTGTTAATAACGTGTTTAATCCTCATAACAAGCCTATGAAGTAGGTCGTATGTTATTGATGAGAAAGCTGAGGCATAAAGAAGATAAGATTGTTGCTAGGGCAAAGGCAAGATTGGAAGGGAGGTAGATGGGCCTCAGTGTTTTGTGCTAACCACTATACTCTGCTGCCTCTCCTAAAAGTTCTGACAGCAACTAACATTTATAACGTATACTATTTGCCTAACTGTTCTATGTCCTATAGACATTTTAATTTAATTTGTGGTAATAAGCCACACAGCATGAATCAAAAGGGGGAACTGTAGTTGTTTCAAACCTGCAGTGGACTGATAGTGTGGTTTGGAGTAACTCATTGTACCACTTTGGGACTCAATCTAACGAGTTGGTTAAATTAGATGACTTATCTCCAAAGTTCTAGCTCTAAAGTTAGAAACAAAGTATCTTAAAAATCTTGAAAAGAACATTTTTTATGTTTCTAATTTGAAATTGGGTATGCAGTCCAGATTTTTCATCTCCTACACACTTGTTATTTAGAAAAAAAAAAAAACAAAAAAACTTTTGTTTGCTTATTTAAGCAAGTTTTAAATTTGACACAAATATGTAGACTTCTTAGAGTTAGATGCCATTGAAAAGATATAAAGCCCTTTGGGCAAGAAACTCCCAGAATAAAACAAAATCCCAGAAAATAAACAAAACCAAATTCACTTTTAATCATATAGAAGTTAAAATATAGAAATTAACAGTTAGTTTAAGAAGCCCAAATATGTTCAGTGATAGTCACTTGCAGACAGACTTTTATGGTTTCTTTTTTGCTGTGAACTCATGCAAATACATTTTAATTTCCATAAGCAAAGGGATTTTCAGTAAGTATCTACATATGATATTGCTATATCCTTACGCAAATAATGTCACTTTTGTCCTCGTTCTAATTGATAAACGATCTCTTAGGCTGTTTAGACGCAGTAACTTTGGGAAGATGGTAAGGGCAGGATAAGAAAGGTAAGATATCCAACTCTAAGCCAGTGACATGACGAATATCTAGTTTTTGTTAATTGTAATGATTAATTCACTACTCTATAGTTTCCTTTGCTTCTCAGTTCATCATAATCTACTGAGTTAGAATCTTTTTTTATTTTGCAGAGTGCATGAGGGACAGCAGTCAAATTCTGACCCCACCTCAACTCTCTTCTAGAATGAAACACATTAGACAAGTCATGGCCAAAAATCGCCTCCAGTTTGTACGATTTGAAGCAACAGACCTTCATGGTGTGTCCAGGTTTAAAAGTATCCCTGCACACTTTTTTCAAGTGAGTTTTATACACAGTTGTGACTGAATGTAATTTCATGACCATTAGCAAGCAAATGGTTCTTATTACTGTTTCTTATTTTCTTGTAATCTATACAGCAATTCAAGCTGAAAATCAATAACTTATTTTGTTTCTTCTCTTGTTCCTCCCAAACACATTATTGCTCCCCAAGGAGCTAAACATGTACTCTCAGCTCTCAAACAGCAATTTCTTCACCCAATAGAAATACAAAACTAATTAAGACTGGTAATTTTAGTCCTTCTGCATTGAGTAATTTTGGGCCACAGAATTACGTTTTCTCCCTTACTGCAATTATGAAGATTATATTTTATTTGACATGAGAAAATTGCAACAGAAGACCCAAGAGCAAACATAAAAGGGAAAAAATGATTAAACAGAAAGAATTTGCTAGTTAAGCAACATATCCCTTTCAGCTCCTAATTCTGTTAAGAAAACATTCCATTGTTGGATGACTTAATATATATCAAATTCCTAAAAATGATATAAAGAAATATTGTGTTTCTGTTGTTTTGAGACTTCCTTAATTTTTGTGTCAATATTTGTCATGTGTTTATTGCGATGACTGAGTTGTTGCGTTAATTAAACATCACAGTTCTTAGCAAGAGACATCAGGTAGGTACTATTTAAGAAAGTGTAAAAGTTAAGCATGCTCTAGGTTTAACTATTTAAAAATGTTATACTTTTATCACATTAATATCAGATCCTAATTTTTACATTTGCTTTATGCTGGGAAAAACTTGACATCTCCAAAAACACTTTTTAAAGAATTCTAACAGATTCAAACTTGTTTCTTAAGGAATTATTTGCTTGCAGATATTGTTTCCTCTTCATCCAGGCAAGAATACATGTTGTTTAATTTTTATAAAAAATATGTATTTTCTTGTGGACTGGCTCAGAATATAATTCAAATCAATCTCTTTGAATCATAAGGAAAAATAACTGGCACTTCAAATACTTGCCAAAGACTTCAATAAAAAACTGTTTGCTATTCAGTTTTTGTCAAAATTTAGTCATTTAGTTTACTAATGGCATCTAAAAGCCCATATATAGAACATTACCCTAGTTTCTAAGTGGAATCCTTTCACAAAAATAAAACAATATGCTGCTTATTCTTGCTAAGGATTGATATAATTGACATAAGAAAGATTCTACATGCTTTTTTAAAATCTAACTGCTACTGAAAATATTTTTCATTATTTTGTTCACTATCCCACATATAAAAAACACTTTTTTTTCCTGGAGTTTAGTTAGAAATAAAGTTTGTTTATCATGAGAATTTTAATGTAACTTATTATACATCTTCACAAAGGCTAAATTTATTCCTAGTCCCAGGTTCCAAATAACTAATTTTCTAATTTCATTACCTAGTTATTATTTTGTTCTCATTCAATGATCATAGAGTATGCATATTTTTTAATAAATCACTTTAAATTTATTTTTGAAACTTGCAAAGATAAAAAGAATAAATATTAGCACAATTAAAATTTTTAATTTAAGACAAAACAATTTATTCTGGAAAATTTGCTGTGAATAGACATTAAAAATAGGTTCGAGAGGCTGGGCGTGGTTGCTCATGCTTTTAATTCCAGCACTTTAGGAGGCCACGGTGGAAAGATCACCTGAGATCAGGAGTTTGAGATCAGCCTGGCCAACATGGTAAAACCCATCTCTACCAAAAATACAAAAATTAATGGGGTCTGGTGGTGGATGCCTGTAATCCAGCTACTCAGGAGGCTGAGGCAGGAGAATCGTTTGAACCCAGGAGATGGAGGTTGCAGTGAGCCAAGATTGTGCCATGGCACTCCAGTCTGAGTGACAAGAGTGAAACTCTGAATCAAAAAATAAAAGGATTCATTTGTACAAAATAACCTAAACATTGTGTGTGTGTGTGTGTGTGTGTGTGTGTGTGTGTGTGTATTCCTTACTCTGTCCCCTAAAAAACCAAGATTCATTTGTGCAAAGTAACCTACACATTGCATGTGTGTGTGGTGTGTAAGGTTTAAACGTTATAACCAACTTACACTATCTCTGTTCTATCAGTAGGGTTGATTTTTGTTTAAATTACATGCAAGTAATGCAGGCTTTTTCTATATTTGATCTAGTCAAAACATGATATTTGCTATAGGATGCATAATTAATTCTTGGCTTATTTCAAAAGATGACCTTTACTATGGTCCAAGTTTCAGTTGTGATAAGGATTTAAGTTATTCTGAAAAAATTTTATTAAGTGAAGTTGTTCCAGTGCTTTATATCTATAAACACTATTTAAGACAATATATTATCATGAATATATTCACATATATTTATATATTTTCCATAACTAATGGATAGTAGTTTGCATTCTCTATGTTCAAGAAAAGAATAAAGCAAATTACAGTGTTAGAAAAGAGTGCTCAGAAAAATATGGATTAAATAGTCTAAAGAATAAAGTGTGATCTTTTACTATTTTTTGAGTTCATGAAGGACTATTGGAATGAAATAGCAACCAGCTGTTCTCTGCTACTCACAGCCAAGTGAATACAAATACAGATTTAAATTGCAGAAACTCACAGAAGTCTCATGAATAAAATATATTATTCCTCATTTTAGATATGTAAAGAACTAATATACAGAATTTCAAGCTAAAAAACTGACAAGCAGGGAAATAACATTATTGCTTATAGTGAAAATATGAATTAAATGATTCCACATTATAGTATTCTAATCTCTCTCTCTCTCTCTCTGTGTGTGTGTGTGTGTGTGTGTGTGTGTGTGTGTGTGTGTATGAAGTTTACATGCACAGGTCCATGAGTCAGTTGGAGAGTTAGGTAGGCACCAAATAGTGTTTGGCTCACTCAACTTACTACTGGTTAAAGTAGACTTGGATCAGTTCGGTTAAATAGCATTTGAGAATATGTGTAGAGATGGTGGAAAGAGAAGGAGGCAGTGGTTCCTGGGCAAATGCGGAAGAGTGAGCCAGTAAATTACTTTGGCTAATACCAGTCCCTCTTTGATAGTCATGCTTGTTGGGGTCTAGAGGTAACATAAATAATCTGGCTTCCTTCCAGCATGTGAGAATACACAAGAAGCCATACACGAACCAGAAAGCAGCCCTCATAAGACCCCAAATCTGCTTATGCCTTGATCTTGTACTTCTCAGTCTCCAGAACTAAAGAGGAATAAGTTACTTTTGTTTATAAGTGGAGGAAAAAAAGAGAAAAAGAAAGAAAGAAGAAGAAAGCATCTGGCTTGCAGATTGCCAGGGTGTTTTATTAACCTCATGATCTTCACTGACTTCATGGGAACCAACCTTTATAGTCAGTGATTCCTCTCCATCTATTAATGTAACTTTCAACTTTGTTGATATTTCTTACACATAATTTCCAGAAATTGTTTTATGTGTCTGTTCAACTTAACAACCTTATTATCACTTCCCTACTGCGTGCAGAGAGCAAAAGTTAAATAAAGGACCAAAATCACTGAATCCCAGAGACAGATAGCTAGAAAGTACCTCAGCAGTCATCTAGTCTAACATTTGTTTTACCAATGTGGAAGCTGAGGCACATAATCCAGTAACTTACTGAAATTCACAGAAGCAATTAATGAAAGAGCTAGGATGAGAAGGCAGATCTTTGACACCCAGTTCATGCTGACTTAAAGGTAACAACATTTTGGAAGCTATAACTTTGGAGTTATAGGTCCACATTCACAGATGAAGTTTCTGGGACTGTGAGACAGTGAGGTTTTTAATTTTTAAATGGTTGTAAAAGTGAATAAAGAGAGGAAGGCAGCTGTTAGTTTCCTGGCTGCTCTGGTATCAGAACAGAGGCGCTGTGTGTCACAGTACTGACCACAGTCTGAAATTTGAGAAGGATTGAGAATTGTTTACTGTAGACTTTTGAGAGTCAGTTAACTCAGGATTACAACAAAATAAGCAACAATAAAGCCTTATCTGAAGACTTAACTGTACTATAAAATAAAATGTGCTTCAGAAAGTAGTTTTGATGATAATTTCAAATAATTCCATAAGGCTTTACCTTTGTCTTTTGCTATAATGTGATTTTCTTTATCATTATACCTTTTATTTATAACTGCAATTTTCAGATCTAAGAGCATATAAGGCCTTCAAGGCTTAAAACGTTGCATTCTTTATAAAGTTGCCTTTGGGGGGTTTTATTTTAAAATATTTAACATCTGATATCAAGTTAGTGTTAACCAACAGATGTTAAATATATATATGCATATGTATATATACATTTATGTGTATATATACACACACATATATTTATGTGTGTGTATATATATATATATATATATATAATTTTTTTTTTCATTAGCAATGCTTTTTTCCCCCAACGCTTTTGTGTGTTTTCAAAACCTAATTTCTTAATTTTTTCCCTTCTTTAGGAGAAAGTGAGCCAAGGCGTTTGCATGCCCCGAGGTTATCTTGAAGTGATGCCAAATCCTAAAGACAATGAAATGAATCACCTAAGAGCCACCTGTTTTAATAGTGACATAGTCCTAATGCCAGAGGTATCAACCTTTAGAGTTTTGCCATGGGCTGAGAGAACTGCAAGAGTGATATGTGATACCTTCAGTGTGACTGGTGAGCCTCTTTTGACTTCCCCAAGGTACATTGCGAAAAGGCAGTTGAGCCAGCTACAGGCCTCTGGCTTTTCCCTGCTTTCTGCCTTCATCTATGATTTTTGCATTTTTGGTGTGCCTGAAATTTTAAATTCAAAGACCATATCTTTTCCTGCTTCAACATTTTTTAATAACCATGATCAGCCCTTCATGCAGGAACTTGTTGATGGCTTATATCACACTGGAGCCAATGTTGAGAGTTTTTCCTCCTCTACCAGGCCTGGTCAGATGGAAATCTGTTTTCTGCCTGAATTTGGCATTAGTTCAGCTGATAACGCATTTACCCTCAGAACAGGTGTCAAAGAAGTAGCAAGCAAATATAATTACATTACCAGCTTCTTCATTGAGACTGCATTTTGTAATTCAGGGATTTTGTCTCATAGTCTCTGGGATGTCGATAGGAAGAAAAACATGTTCTGCAGCAGTTCTGGAACTGAGCAGCTCACAATCACTGGGAAAAAATGGTTGGCAGGACTCTTGAAACACTCTGCTGCTCTCAGCTGCCTGATGGCGCCTGCTGTTAGTTGCCGAAAGCGTTATTCCAAGGACAGAAAAGACCTGAAGGAGAGTGTGCCTACAACGTGGGGATACAATGATAACAGCTGTATATTTAATATCAAGTGTCATGGAGAGAAAGGCACCCGGATAGAAAATAAACTAGGCTCAGCAACAGCAAACCCTTACTTGGTGCTGGCTGCAACTGTGGCTGCAGGCCTAGATGGACTTCATACAAGTGATGAGGTCTTGGCCGGTCCAGATGAGAGCACAGACTTCTACCAAGTAGAACCTTCCGAGATCCCTTTGAAACTAGAAGATGCCCTTGTGGCACTGGAAGAAGATCAATGTCTGAGGCAGGCTCTAGGAGAAACCTTTATTCGGTATTTTGTTGTCATGAAGAAATATGAGTTGGAGAGTGAAGAAAGAGATGCAGAGAGAAATAAATTCTTAGAGTATTTTATTTAGAATAGAACTCACAACTACTCTTTAGAGATGTAATTATTACTTAAAGCTAATCTACCAAAACAAAAAGACTGAACTTTTATAGTTAACAACAGTGACAATAAGAAGACTAAGAACACTTGCCTTTTTTTTTTCATCTCTATGGAATATTTGACAGATGAAGTAGGACCGCTGAGAAGATCCTGATAACAGAAACAAACAATAAAGTTGTGGTGAAGCTTTAATAGGCAAATTACCAGATCTTGTCTGTTAGTCATCATCTCCTATGTGTATGCTGATCTGGATACAGATATCCAATTTTGGGAGGCAATAAATATATTCACACATTTAAAAAAAAAAGACTTAAGCATTAGAAAGAAAAATTTAAATGACTTAAAAAAAAGGAGGAATAATTTTAATGGTACACATAAATTATGACTTCCAGTGAGACAAATACACTACTATAGTCTTGCTAATCAAATCATATTATGAATCTAGTTTGTATGCATCATTGTGGTCTTTCTAAATAAGTCAAAGAAACCTTTGCCAAAATATAACAAGTAGGCAGAAGTTTCCCCTGAGTTCTTCTCTTTTCACCCTTCTCCACTTGCTCCTGAAAGGCTTATGAACTTCAAGGTTATAACATCCTTCAGAAACAAATCCATAAGGAAGAGAATTGGGGTTGAAAACAACGAGGTCAGATTTCAAAAGTAGTTAAAGCCTTTATTTAAACAACGCTTCATGTAGAAGCTCAATACATAAAATGTAGATAGAATAAAGTATGCATGTGAGGGTAGGTGGGCCCTGTCTACTCTGCTTCATTCTTTGAAACTAGATGTACCTCTGAAACCTTTAGTGTTCTGTGGAGTGTGAGAATAACTGCCTGGCTAGCCAGGGCTATGTCTGGAGTTTAAGTTTGTTATTCAAATCACTGAATCTTCTGCTCACAGAGGTTGGTACCTCCCCAGAGAATATTACATGTTCCAGACCTTTGTTTGAATGAGATAATATTGTAACTATCACTAAAGTTTAGCTTCTTTTGGGAAGAAGTCCAAAATCTACTAACTAGCAAATGAAAACACTGTTCTATTGCTTAGGATCAAACAGCAGATTTTATGTTCAATTAAAATGGACTGTGGTCTCAATTTAGATAGCAAACATACAAGCAGAGGATTAGAATTTGGCTCAGATCCTCTTATTAAAATTCAGAGTACTCAGTAGCTTAAATAGTGAAAGTCAGTCTGTCTTTCACTAATTACTCCCTTCTTTTCTCCTTTGAGCAGGAGAAGTGTATTTGGATACACAAGAAGAAAGTTCCCAGCACTATGGAAGGCCAAGGCAGGAGGACTGCTTGAGGCCAGGAGTTTGAGTCTAGCCTGGATCAAATAGTGAGACTTCTGTTCCTACCAAAAAAAAAAAAAAAAAAAAAAAAAAAAAAAAAAAAAAAAATCCTGGTGGCACATGCCTGTAGTCCCAGCTACTCAGGAGGCTGAGAAGGGAGGATCGCTTGAGCCTGGGAGTTTGAGGCTACAGTGAGCCATGATCACACCACTGCACTCTAGCTTGGGTGACATTGTGAAACACTGTCTAAGGAAAAGAAAAGAAAAGAATAAAGCTCATGGATGCATATTGGGTAGAGAGAAACGTATTGTAGTGTAGGTGGGGGAAGGAAGGGAATCTGTCCTGAAACCTCCAGAATGAAATCCCACACATTACATCATGGGAGGGATAAGGAGGACCCTCATGCCAATTTTCTAGCTGTCTCCTGATATTCCTTTTCCCATATGTTCTCAGTAATAAAACCTAAATGTGTTCATTGAAAGCAATAAAAAATAAAATGAAATTTCTGAGCCTTCATTAAGATTGAATGTGGTCACGTTAATAGTTTCAGTGCAAAGAGGTGAAAGTAGAAATGTTGTGTGGAAGTTTTTTAGTGCATTTTCTTTTCTTTTCTTTTTGCAATGGAGTCTTGGGAAATTTGAGGGATTTGGGGATGAAAGAATAAAGATATAAGAACAGTGAAAGATGACTTCTTCAATCTTCCCACTTCTAGAGAGGATAATCTGAGTTAATCAAAGGAATCCACACATGCAAAAAATGGGATTGGCTTTAGCCTATCCTTATAAAGTGGCATATCCCTTTATAGTCCATGGGCTTTAATGAAATATGTTTTTCTTTTTGTTTTTTTTTTTTAAGACAGGGTCTTGCTCTATCGCCCAGGCTGGAGGGCAATGGTGGGATCTCAGCTCACTGCAACCTCCGCCTTCCTGGTTCAAGCAATTCTCCTGCCTCAACCTCCCAAGTAGCTGGATTACAGGTGCCTGTTACCATGTCCGGTTAACTTTTGTATTTTTAGTAAAGATGGGGGTTCACTAGGTTGGCCAGGCTGGTCTTGAACTTCTGACCTTGTGATCTGCCCCTTGGCCTCCCAAAGTGCTGGGATTAAAGGCGTGAGCCACCATGCCTGGCTGAAACATGTCTAATGCATTGACTTCATTTTACCATAATGAGTAAAAGATATTATAAAAAGTCTGATAATCACAGTGGTTTGAAGTCCCTTTTTCCCCATACACATTATTAGCATAACTTTAAAAACACAGTACTCAGAATGCCCTGTGATGGAATTATATAACCGGGAATACGATCATCAGTATTAAGCATACAGTAGTGAGTCAACAGAAAATACTCAGCCATAGATTACAAATCAATTGATAATGTAGTTGATGGGGCAGTCTCCACCAAGATTTCAGTTAGGCATGTGCTGATGTATATTCTTGTTCTTTAAAGCAACCCTAGAAGAGGCATTAGCCAACAGACTTCAGGGCTAAAGACAAATTGGGGTAGGTACACATAAAAATCAGTTATGTTTTTCTCTATTTCTTTCACCTGTTCATAGACTTTTGATTGTTAAACGGACTTTCTGCTGATATTTCCATCTTCTTGTTCTGGGTTAAGAGGGTCAGAAATTCATTCAGCAGCACTTCTTGAGTACCATTTTTGTGCTAAGCCTTCTTCTGGGAGCCATCATACTAAGGGAGACCAAAACAAAGATGAACAGACAATGAAAGAGTTTTGGATCTGTATAGCTTGAGCAGAACAGAAATAATTTTTTTTGTAGGCCTAACACTGAAAAAAAACTATTTGGAAAGCTTCTTTACGGCTCAAAAAGAATGCTTTATGAATAGCTTTACAAAAATTACTTTCTTATTTTATTTACTGTAATTGTGCTAATCAAAGCTTAGGGGAAAATGTGATTACTGAATTTCAAGTTGGTTATTAAATGAGTATACATAAGAAATGTAAATTAAAAGCGATAATGTTTTTTTTTTTTTTTTTTTTTTTTTGAGGTGGAGTTTTGCTCGTTACCCAGGCTGGAGTGCAACGGCGCGATCTCGGCTCACCGCAACCTCCGCCTCCTGGGTTCAGGCAATTCTCCTGCCTCAGCCTCCTGAGTAGCTGGGATTACAGGCACACGCCACCATGCCCAGCTAATTTTTTGTATTTTTAGTAGAGACGGTGTTTCACCTCGTTGACCAGGATGGTCTCGATCTCTTGACCTCGTGATCCACCCGCCTCGGCCTCCCAAAGTGCTGGGATTACAGGCTTGAGCCACCGTGCCCGGCCAAAAGCGATAATGTTTTAAGACTAGAAACTAAAACATTAGTATTGTAGTCTATTTTCAAGGACATTCTATAATCTAAAATTTCATTTTACAGTGTCTGAATAACAACAATTCTTGAAATGACGATTTGAAGGCAATGAAAGTTCAAAAAACTTGAGTCTGAATAAAAATTGAAAGCATACAGTGAAGTCTGAGCTTATCACAAAACAGAATAGTCTATTGACATATTTCCAGTCACCTGTTTAACAAAATATGCTTACCAGTATGTTTGTGATATAGGTATACCGGACAATACTTTTAACCATGGGTTTTCCGTTACAGGGGTTAGAATTTATATCTTTAAACATTACCTATGTGCACAGTGCTTTCCCTGTTAAAGCTCTTCTCATGCTGCCTATAACTAGGGGTTTACATGATATTTTCTAACTAGGATGTAAATTCTAAGACTAAAAGGAACATATTTTACTTACATTTGCATTAATATTTTTTGTTCCTTGCATATGTTTTGCAGTTCAATTAATGTTTAATCCATCAATCAATGCATGTGTTATCAGCATAGTACAGTACTATGCTTGTCCAGCATAAAACACAGAAATTCATATACCCAGAGAGATGGAGGAATAGAGTTGGAGATAGTGGAGAAGATCAACAGTTTGTGTTTTTTTATTGATCCTGCTATTTCTGCCATTAGATGAACTTCTTCAGGTTTTCTGCTTCTAGAAACTCCTAAGTAAACACCGTTTGATTAGCTTGATGGGATCAAATGAACAACAACAACAAAAACAAAAAACAGAGAGCAAGGTGAAGTTGTCATGCTTTTTCGCCATCTGGAACCATTCCATAGCTTTCTTATATTTGTGGAATTCCTCTTCTTTGGGGTCTTGTCTACCAAAGTAGAAATCAGAACCTCACCTTCCCAGTTTCTCTTGCTGCCATGGTAGAAGGACTCCATCAATCAGATGCAGACATAAAATCCTTCTGGACTCCACTCTGCTGAGCCTGAGGGAGGCAGCAGTGACAGGAAGCCATGGGTGCCCTTCTGGGGTGGCACTGTGGTGGTGGGGGCATTGGTGGTGCTGTTGCCCAGTGCCAGTGGCTGTTAGGTCTCTGGAACAGTCAAGTGCAGCTTCTGAACCTGATTTTCCTGGCCCTCCCAGATTTTATTAAATATCTAATATCTTTTAATAAATTTCTCTTTTTCTTAAAGTAGCTAGATTTTGTAAAAAGAAGCCTGACTGAAAAACAGTCAATAAAAAGACACGCAAACAGCAAGAAAACTGATAAGGGAAAAGGAGAAAGAAAGGCAAAGAATTATCATTAATTAGAAGACTAGGAACAATTGAATGTTTACACTAGATACAGAATAAATGAAGGTTTATTAAACTCCTAGTATAACATATATCATGTGGGCACTTTCTCATTCATTGCCTTATTTCATGCTCTCTACAATCTTATGAGAAAGATATGCTTATTATTTTTAAAAACAAAAGATTTAAGACCCAGAAAATTTGTGTTGAAAGAACTAGGAATCAAATCCAGGTTTCTACTCTATGAGTCTCACGGTCTCCGTGCTACACCAAAATGCCCTTCACTACATAGTCTCAGCTGAGTACAACACTGAAAATTATGCCGAACATTACATTTTAATTTTAAGGCTTCTAGGCATTAAAATGAACAGAAGTAGGTAAATAATTGGACCTTTCCTTTTTGTTAATATGCAGTTCAAGTTAATGTAGTTTCACTGCATTGTTATATATTCGACTACAAATAAA